CATAAATACAGATAACCGAAGGTTGATAAAAAATTATAAAACAACCAATGGAGCCATTTACTTTCTTAAATAAATCCATTTAACATAAAAATTGTTACTTCATATTTACCCTTATGAGTTTTCAAAACTGATCTATGAAGATAATAACACGAATAACATTGTGATTTCATATGCAAATGAGCAATAATAACAACTTATTTTCTTACTTGCTCATTAGTACCTCTTGGGGACTTAGGGATTCCCCATACGCGTGGACTCAATATCCAAGTTATAGATTAACTGGCTGTCCCTATACCTCGTCCGGTAATAAACGCTCAATATACCACCGTCTCAGTACTCGTCCGATATGAGGGTGAACTATACCTTCCAACCCTTTTTGGTATGAGACTTCTCAGTCCCGTACGATTAAGGTAATATTCACGATAGAGTTCCCCTATATACCATGTCCGTTTACTTTTTCTTAGGGTACCTAATAAGCTTTTTATACATAGATTTACAACATCAAACCATCACTAATCGCATACCAACATCTTATTTTATATTTATAAATTAATAGAACGACATTTAAGTAGAAAATACAAATTTATACCTTAACAATTAAGAAACATAATTAAGACATTTATTTCAAATCAATTAACAGATGAAAATAAACGGTTAAGCAATCAATAAATGAGAAAATAATTAAACCAATAAATCAAAGTGCATGTGGTAAGCAAACTGAACAATCTAGCATTAAATGAGCAATGCAGATAAAATAAACAATTACATACTGATCAATTTCGGCTCCATTAGTGACTTGTAATTAATTTTAATTTTTTTAATTTTTACGAAGCACAATATTATTGATTAGTAAACTTTAATTCACCATAACAGAGAAAATGGTGAGAGATTCTTATCCCGGATCTGTATTCGAAATACCGTACTTTTCAATTGTAATACCCAGACCCGAAATTTGGCTCGAAATTAATTTTAAAATTTAAAAAATATATATAAATATAATTTTTAAATTTATAAATTTTTATTTAATGTAAAATTAGGAGAAAAAATAGGTGGATTATGAAATTGAAAATAATTTTAGGAAAAATGAGTGAAAATTTGGGTTTGAAGAGTATTTTTGAAAGAAAAATTAGAAATTGTGAGTCAAACAATTAAAAAAAATGCACTATGTAGGACCACCCAATCAGTAGTCTCGACGAATCGAAGCGCGTCACGTGGCAAGATACACTGACTCAGTGCCATGTGGGAGGCCACGCTGGCAATCTGCATGCCCGCAATCAGATGGCTCGGAGGCATTCCCGTGGGCGTGGATGGTCCGGATATATTTTCTCCCCATGCGCGATGGGACGGTCGCGATTAAATCCGATAAACTATCCAGATTCATTCTCTCATTAAACGCGATCGTACAGTCGAGATCAAATCGTAATAAATAGTTCATATTCATTTTTTCTTTAAACGCGATCGGATGATCGATATCAAACGTGATAAACAGTCTAGATTTAAGGGAGATGGGTATACAACTTGTCAAAACTGGCTAAAAAAGGCCAAGTCGAGGTAAATCGCCACCTGCGTTAGCGGTTCTGCCGTGCTGGAATTCTAAAATTGGCCAGAAAAGGTTTTTAACATCGTTTTTGGATTTTTTTTTTTGTATTTTTAGGTATGTGAAGCATATTTTAATCTCCACATAAAAATTCAAGAAACTTGGGGACCACCAGTAGGCGCAGTAGAAAGTTCGGTGTTTTGGACACCGATTCGGGTTAGAATCTCTTACTTTATTCCTTATTATGGAATTGAAGTTATCAATAATACGGTATTTTGCGTAATTTAGAAATTTTCAAAAATTAATTAGAGGTTACTAACGGAGTCAGAACCGGTGATTTATTATTATTTGTCCTATTTAACCGATTGTTTAATTTTACAACTTTAAATGCATAATAATATAATGAAATTGATAAAATGATTCAATTGTGTTTCTTTGATACATTTATTATTTATCTTGCGTTGATTTACGGTTAAATTGTGAAACTGAAAATTAAATATAAACGAAAAATTGATTAGTTAAGTGAATAAATGAATAGTAGTCGTATTGAATATTCTAGAAGATAGTAGACGGATCGGGTACATAGTAAATCCTACCGTGAATGTCACCTCATACTGAATAGGGTATTGAGGATTGATATTTTTGGCGCTTATACCGGACGGGGTATTGATGGATGATATTTTTGGCGCCCATACCGGACAGAGTATGGGGATGGTCGGTTAGTTGACAATGTTGAATAATAGTTCACGCGTAGTGGGACATCCCTATGGGCCCCCAGGGATAACAGTAGGCAAATAAATAGGAAAAATTATTATTCTTACTCACTTGAATATAATATTAAAATATTATTTGAGTTATTATCACTATAGGTCGATTTTAGAAATCTCATAAATGGTAAATATATGCAATAAATAGTTTTCTTTATGATAAATGAATTTGCTTAAATTAAGAAGTCAATTGGTTGTTTTTTATAAATTTTACCAACCTTCAGTTTCTGTATCGGTGAGTATTGTGATATTTTTATTGGGTTAGTATAGCTAACCATTTCATAAACTCTTTCAGATCAAGAGGACCAATATCCAAATCCCGGTTAACAAGAGGATTGTGAATAGTTCACCATCAGAACTCTTTCAAAAGCTAGTGAATGTTGTCCTAAGATGCTCAATTATTTACTTTTCGTTTATTTCTTTGATTTTTGTTTATTCTTTTAAAAGAGACATTCTTGTAGTCCTATTGGGTATTTAAAATTATTGTGTAAAAAATGTAAACTCTAACTCTATTATTCTACTTTTGTATTCAATTTATGTATTTATTTTCTTTTAAGTTATAGGTTATTACATCATTGCACCTCTTAGTGGTCCCTGGATTTCCTGAATTTTTATTGCAGAAATTAAAAATACCCGTCATGTATCTAAAAAATACCCTAAAAGGCTAAAATAGGTATTTTAAACTTTTTTCAGCCAATTTAGGGTTCCAGAACGACACTACTGTCGTGCTCCAGAGCTGGCTCCATCGTCCACAGTGGTGGTTCCTCTTGAACTAATCGTTTTTGGTCAATTTAGGCTGATTTTGGCCAGTTTTGCATGTAAACATGTGAAAAACTAAGTTAGGGGCCATCTGTTAGCTGGAAAAGGCAAAAATTAAAACCCTACCGGTGGAAGGGTCTCCGGGTGCGGTAGCTCCACCATTCCTCTTTTGCGACTGGGGTTCTCCTTCGACTAACCTGCACCAAAAAAGGATGAGAAACACAATAATCAGAAAACTGAGGGAAACAAGACACGGGAAGGGGCTCATCGGATGAGGTTTTTAAATTTAAGCCGCGACGATTCTGTCGAGCTTCACTCGTATTTTTTAGTTCATTCGTCGGTCTTTCGGCTCCGATATGGATGTGGGTAGGTTTAGAATCAAATTCTGAGTGAGAAAGGAAAAAAAATACATGTTCGTTATCAGTAATGGCTTTGGGACCATGGTGGCGGCAGTCAATTTCTTTTCGGCTACCCTTCTTCTTCTTTTCCAGCGATGACTGGTGCGGTTAGGGTTAGGGTTTCCTGGACCGCAAGGTTTAAATATCCTTCCCGAGTCGATTTGGGCCGTTCGTTTTGGGACACGTGAACCTTTCCCACTTGTTGGATCCCTCTTATTTAGAGAATGAATGTGGGCTACTTTATCGAATTGAATCTAACTATTTGATTGTGCCTGAAGGAAAAACGCATCTAGATCGTTCGTGGGCGCGGGATGTGATTTGATCTGTTGGATTCGCAGGCACGCGGATCGCCTACGTGGCCTTTCGTGTGGAATCGGTGCCAGTGTGTCCGTCACGCGGCGTGTTTTGAGTTGTCATTGCTGCTGATGTGGTCGTCTCATGTGACCATATTTTTTATTTTTACGATTTTACCCTTTATTTTTAATTTTTTTTTAAATACCCTCATTTACAGTTTCACTTTTTTTTTTTTATAATTATTTTCAATCGCATTCATAATATATTTTTTCTCAAAATTTTTACAAAAGTAAAATAAAATAATAATTAAATTATTTTAATATACATATTTTATAAATGTAGAAATTATCTCGGGTCCTGATGTTACAATTATAAATCAAAATGAATAATTTTTAAAATTTGAAGATTAATTTAACAATTAATCATTATTTTTTATTTATTATAATATTTTATAACTAATTTTACATGTCACCAAGCAAATAACATCATTTAACTATTTAATTAAATATATATTTTTAGTTTTTTAAGATAAGAAACTATTAAAAACTAATTTATATTAATTTGCTCATAAACATTAATAAAATATTAGTATTATTATTTATTATTAGCATTAAAACCAATTGGGATTTGTCATGTCACAAATTATTTGCATTAAAAATTGAAACTAAAATTCTAACAAAGATGGATTTTGACAATTTCTTTTTATTTTGTAGCACATTTTTTCTTCACCTTTTCGCCTTCTTTTCAATCATAAACTTATTTAAACAAAAACTATTCAATAAATAAATTTTAAATTTCAGAATTAATGTATAGTTAAGACATATTATAATTTTTTCCACAAAATATGTCATGCATTAATTTATTTTTAAATTAATAAATCATTATTTTGTAAAAATCATACCTATTTACAATTAGAATAAGTATGAATTTCTTAAGTAAATTACACAAAT